TGGCTGACTGGAGTTCTGTTTGGGTTTCTTCTCTGCTTTCAGGAAGGCCCAGTTAGGATATCCACATTGCTCTAGAGCTGAGGGGAAAAACACCCATCAGTAAAATGCTCCACGCTGGAGATGGAGATGAAGGTGGAGACGGATGTCTTCAGCTTGCCGGCCCATCTGCAGCCTCGTTCCAGTGTGACGTCACAGCTGGACAGCGAGGCCAGATGGGGTCAGGGCGACGAGTCGGGGCGGAGCCAACCTTGCCGCCAGATCATCCGATCAGGGCGGAGGGAGGCGAGGTACGGAAATTCCCTTGTGTTAACATCCTCCTGGATTATGCCGTGCAGCTCCGAGAGGAGGGCGCCGACGGCTGGGAGCGGTGTGGTCGCCGACGTGGGAAGATCCGAGGTGGCTGAGCATCCGCTCGACCACTCGTCTTCCGTCACTACGCTCTCCAGGAGGGAGGGGGCAGCTCCGCATCGCCTTTCTCGGAGGAATCATTCGATTCACTGCGTGACTCTGCATCAAAGAAGGCAGTGGCGTCGTCCTGCACATAGCGTCCCACCACAGAAAAAAACACTCAGCGGAGCTGCTGCCAAACAACGCCTTTTTCGAGGGAATCACCCGATTTACCTCGAGAAAAAAAACACGTTAGAAGAGGCGGTGGCATCGTCCAGCGAGTAGTGGCCCTCCACGGGAAAACATTCAGCGGGGCTGCTGCCAAACAACGCCTTTTTCGAGGGAATCACCCGATTTACCTCGAGAAAAAAAACACGTTAGAAGAGGCGGTGGCGTCGTCCAGCGAGTAGTGGCCCTCCACGGGAAAAACATTCAGCGGGGCTGCTGCTAACATCGCTTTTTTCGAGGACATCATTTGATTATCGCGAGGAAAAAAACACGTTAGAAAAGGCGATGGCGTCGTCCAGCGGGTAGCGGCCCGCCACGGAAAAGCACTCCTCGGTGCTTACCTTGAACCAGGCTGCTCGTCTGCTTCTCCTCAGGGAGGAAGAGCTCACCGGGACGGCAGGAGGTTGGCGTGGCGGAGACCCAGGCATCCTTAGCAAAGGTTGTGCCGGTCAAAGCTGGACAACTTTTCCTTTTTCGTTCTTCTGACAGTGCTAGATAGCTGGATTAAGAAAAAATGGGAGCCAATTGCGTCTCACCGTAATTTATACGGTCAGGGGGTGAGGTCCACACAGCAGGTGGGCGTGGACTAAAGTTTTTCAGTGCAGCGTTGAGCGCCTAGGGATAAGCCCACCAGCGACAGCCTTAAAGGGCGAAGCCTATACGAAATAGAACTAGAATATATTCAAACGTCTGAACTGTATTGCTTTTAACGCAGTCTGGAACTGTTCGTGTCGAGTTTCTCTGAGTTGTCTCACGACGTGATGCAGTATAAGAGAAATTCGACACCACGGTTATATATTTATGGAGCTCAGACAGAAGGAAGTCTGCAGGTTTTATAAAACCACCGAATGCTAACAGCTGTTGGCTGCACGGCTTCACATCAGCTCGTCCTGTCATTGACGCAGCTCATCACGTCTCTTTTCTCCTGGCCCTTCAGCCTCAGCTCTTGGGTTTTAGTGCCGGGTGTGATCAGGGTTTTGGAGAAGAAAGAAGATCCTTTCCAAACCGTTTCCATCCATCATGCTACAAATGAATTCACAAGTGGGGAAAAGGTTTGACTGCCAGTCTTCATGGTCAGTCTGTGATGCTGGAGAGACGGTAAAATCCAAGAGCTCCGTCTCTGACGCTCCCAGTCTCCGGTAGAAAACTGAAAGTTAAAGTTCATGACAGGAGAATTATGAAACACCTGAGCAAGCGATTGGAAAGAGTCGAGAGGAAACAACATCTCAACATGGCAGCACAAGTTAGTTTGAAAAGTTGCATCTAAATTAACGAAGCCTCTGGACAGATTATAACGGTGTTTACCCACAATGCACAGCGCCACCTTGTGTAAAACCTAAACAACTCATTCCAGTTGTTGAGCACGGTGGTGGAAGGGCGATGATTTAGTCATGATTGAGTCAATCATGATCTCCTCTATTATTGTTTTTGTTTTGATCCATAAAACTTTGTTTATTTATAAACAACATGAAGTCCACGTCTTGTGACATAAAGGACGGTAAAGTCGGCTTCAGAT